CAACCAGTTTTGTTTTACAGCAAGAATATTGGTTTTAATTATATTGACAGGAAGTTTACAGTTAACATAATTAACTGGTAGTAGGTTAAGTGCTTGGCTGCTAACTAAAAGGTCAGCGGTTAGAACCCACCCATCACTCCATGGGAGAAAAGACTTGGTGATCTGTGCCTGTAAAGATTACGTACAGTCTAGGAAACCCTATGGGGCAGCTTTACTCTGGCCTATATGATCCTATGAGTCAGAATCGACTTTATGGTACACAACAACAACAACAAGTGTAGCAGCAGTATACATATCCTGATGCTTTCTTCATGCCAGTTACTGTTCTTATGTGCTTCATATATAACAAATCATTGAATATTCATTAAAACCCAATAGAAAAATGATTGCAATTACCCAAATAAGCAGCAGAAGAAAAAGTTCGTAAATATCAGTACATAGATGACTGTAGACTGCATTTTAAGTTCTCTAAGGGAGTAAGACAATTAAGAAAAAAAAGTCTTTACTTATTTTAACCATTAAATTTCCATGTGTGAATGTGTATCCTAAACTCAACTCATTTTTAATGATGAGTTCCTTGATAAGTTTGAAAATTTTTTGGTTGAAAGCATTTTTGTACAACTTGAAATTTGATGCATTGGATACACTCTTTGTAAGGTGCATTTTTGGCCACACTGAACATAGTTTCTGTACTTAAAGATGGCACGGCGCCCATGTCACACCTACTGTTGATGCAATCACATCCATGGACACCTGCACCAACAAACACTAATTGCATTCCAGCCTGCTATTTTGAACTTTCCCTCTTTCTCTTTTTCTTCTGCCTAGCAGGCTTTAACTAGAGAGAAAAGCAGTATATTTTTAGACATTAGGGAAACCAGAGAATTTTCCTCCAACCCACCAGGCCAAATGAAATCCTGAGGAAGATTTTCTAAAAGGAGTGGAGCTATCAGGACCTTGACTGATGGGAAGCTGCTTGAGACACAGGAGAAAGTGTGGAATAACTGGAATGACTTGGGTGTTGGTGAAGTTAAATTATTTGGGTATCTATGAAGGAACTTGGCAGGATATATCTATGCGTCACAATTCTTTTCTTAACTTTATGACACATGTGAATGGTAATCCAGGTAAAAGCATAGTGAAAGGGAAAATAATTCCCCTTCTTAACCTTTCTTGGCTTATTTACAGCTCTATTGGGGAAAACGTGTTGAAAATTTTGAAAACAAAAAAACAACAACTAACCAAAACAACCAAATGTCAACAATTATTTTAAAACAAATGAGAGAGAGATGAGAATGTAAGGGAGTAGGGAAACTAGTTTAATGGAAACAGAACAAACAGAATAGAAATAATGAGAATATTCACACATTGTGAAGAATGTAGCCAATGTCACTGAAAAAATTGTGTAGAAATTGATGAATGGGAAGATAAAGTGCTGTGTAAACTTTCACCAAAAACACAATAAAATATTATTAAAAAAAGAAAACCCAAAACAACAATAGCAACAAAATCAACAAGGATCACTAATATTCAAAAGCAAGTTCTTTCTGAAGATTCTTAGGTTTTCCCATGAGCATGGTTTGTTCAAATCCATTTTTCAGTTTCACCCACTTGACTTGTTAGAATTAAGCCATGTTGAAGCACCATGGCCCTTTAGGTAGTTGATAAATTATTATATTTCTATAGATAAAAGAAAAACATCTACTGCTTTCTATATAAGATTTTTTTTACATCATTGAGACCTCTTTGCTAAATTAAAGAGCATCTATTGAATGAGAATTTTATTTATTTTGTGTTTAATTAGTATTTGGCTTCTTATTTACCGTTATAGCTCAGCTTATGAAATATCAGATTTCTTTTGGTGGGAAGGAGTGTTATTGCCTATTCTGAAAAACAGCCTTGGATTTTGAAGGCTTTCTAAATGATGGGATAGGTTTGCTTTCATTTTATACCATCATTTGATTTTTTTTTTCCAACTTGCTCACTATATTTTTCTCTTTAGAGTTATGAAAATCTGTTTGGGACTCCTGTTTGTGGAACTACCAAATTAGTTAGTTTTAGAGATTTTCCTGCTTTCGTGATGGATATGATTTTGTCTGTTTTTTAATTTAAGAAACTCAAATTTTGTGACTTGTTTTCTCCAGAACTGTTTGAAAAATCCAGAAAATAGCTCTGAAAGTTAGTGAATACATTGACTTTGGAAATAAAAGGAACTTACAAGTAGAACTCTTATGGCCAGAACAACCTGTGATATCGCTGAGTTTAGTGCCCTCATTTGACACATAGGAAAAATGGAAGCTCAGAGATGTTGGGTGTGATTTGTCCAGTACTGCACTGCTAGTTAGTGTGAGAAGTCGCCCCAGAGCCAGGTTTACCAGTCCAGCGTGCTACATTATGCGATATCAGTCTGACTGCTATGGTAGAATGGCTACTAAGGATATAAGTTAAGAATTTAAATACAAATTCACAATGCAGAAGAGAAATATTAATCCAAATGGTTGGTAGAAGGAGGTTCTGCACTTTCCAAATTCACAACCGTGGTTCAGCATTGATGAAAATTTAAGAGCGAGATTTAGGCATATGTAAAGTGAGATTTTTAAGTCCTAATAAGTCCTAATAAAAGAGTGGAAACCCTTGTGGCATAATAGTTAAGAGCTATGGCTGCTAACCAAAAGATTGGCAGTTTGAATCCACCAGGTGCTCCTTGGAAAACCAATGGGACGGTTCTACTCTGTCCTATAGGGTTGCTATGAGTCAAAATTGACTCAATGGCAATGTGTTTTAATAAAAGAGTACAAAAATTCCTCAGCCACGAATTACTACTAAATTGAATCATGGGCTTTGAATGATATTCTCAGTGAGTTGATGCAGAAACTTCACAGTTACTACACATAAAGTTAAAACTGATGTATAATAATAATGTCTGAGAAGGCTAATTCGTTCACTAAAGCACTCATCCCCAAAATAAAAGGCTGTAATTTCTTAAATGTTTTTGGTAATGGAAGACAAGAATAGTAAGGATAGTTTAGAGATCCATGTTATCAAATATTTGCATCTGTTAATTCCATCTTCTCTTTCTTAGAATGAGTTTTCAGGTCAGCTATGATATAGCAGGATCCTCTAACGAGTTTGACCTCCTGCCTCTAGGTAGTAGAAGAAGAAAATGAGCCAAATGCAAGTAACATAAAAATGTATCAGTGTATGTGTGTGAGGTATGTGTATAAATATTTATTCAGCCCTTATCGTCCTCTACCCACTCTTCTGAATACTTTCCATGTCTTAACCTTATTTAATTCTCCAGAAGACCTGATGAGATTGGTGCCATCACCTCCATTTACAGATGATCTTGAGCTTGGAGAGTGAAGTAAAGAACTAGAAAACAGAGGCTATAAGTATCTTAACCACTACATAGTACTGTATCATAGACAATCTATGGCTGAATAACTTTATAAGCAATAATTTCAATTTTCCAAAAATGTACTAATGTACAATGTACTATGTACAGTTATAAAACATTGAGCTTAATCTCAAGATTGTTAGCTGTTCGTTGACCTCACTACAAGATATTTTGGCTTTGGAAGGAGAGGGCAGAAAGAAGGAATGTTTTCCAGACATTACACTGTAGAAGCTTAAAAATATTATTAAAAAATATAAAAGCATTTTGTATTTCAAACTTTAAATCATAAAACTCTATTAATTTCCACCTGGTAGGGACACAGGGAACTCTGATGGTGTAGTAGTTAAGTGCATGGCTGCTAATCGAAAAGTTGGCAGTTCGAATCCACCAGGTACACTGAAGGAGAAAGGTCTGGCAGTCTGCTTATGTAAAGATTTACAGACTAGGAAACCCTATGGGGGCAGTTCTACTCTGTCTGACACGGTCACTATTAGTTGGAATTGACTAGATGGCAACAGGTTTTTTTTTGTGAAGATAGAGTTAAATCAGACTATATTTGTGGTGACCGAACTTTAATATAGTTTGAATACAGACATATGCCACTCATGTCGCTTGCTAAGTCCCCTCAACTTACAAGTTTTCTTAACTTGATTTAGTAAGTGGCTAAGATTCTCTATAATTCATGAATATTTTCTTATGTGAAGAATGAATTCTATAAAGACATTAGAAAAACCTGTCCATTCTCTTGAGTCAACCATTTTGTCTGCTATCTTTTTTAAGTATCAACTCTCTCCCAAACCCTTCCTTTCTAAATTATAAAATGGATAACTTGAGCTCCACTCCAGTGGAATTACCACTTTCATATTGGAGCTCAAATTATCAAGGCTTTACTGATGTAATGTAGAGAACTGGGTCTAGATTTTACAAAGATCCCTGAATTCTTTGAACCAGAAAGAGTATTCACTAAGAGAAAGCCTACATTTTTAATTAAATTGATTCAAAATACCTGTAATCTATTACCTTGATTCTCATTCAGTAAGAAAAAACAATGAAAAGGGTGCACAATGACCTTATTTAAACAACATTCTAAAGAAACATGTGCCGCTCAGCTTTTTGGGTTTGACAGAGGGCCAAGGTATAATATGCAGTCACTTTTCTTTGGACTGCGTTGTGGATTATTCAGAGAAAATTTCCAAAATCCAGCCAGGCCTTCCCCCGCCCCCTCCACTGCCCCATTGCCAACCCAGTCTGCTTTTTAGACGGTATCCTCTCTGTCCCCTCAGTGTACTTTCTCAGTTAGCTTGGGGATTGCAAAGTAATTTGACTACTAGGCTAAGCCAAACATAACTGTGGAATGGAAGCTGCCAGGAAGCAATCAGTTGTAGTGCAGTCCAAAATCAAGCCTATTTCAAATGCCTGATGGACCATCTTCCATTGCAGCTCACATGGCTGTGAGATACAGGTGACTGGAGTTCCAATTGGATGCCCTCACTCACTCCCAAACCACAGACCTGAATACACAAGCCCTTAAAATAAAAGAAAGTCGAGGTCAAGCATACCTGTTCTCAGATGTGCTTCAGGTGCCAAACCGTGCAAAACTCACCAAGGAAAGAAAATGTCAGCTTTGGTCCTAAATGTCTTCTGGGGAGGGAGCCTCCTGATGCCAGTCACATCTCAGGGTTGATCTGCCCCGACTTCTGATGTTCTGCTGTTCCTTGGAAGACTTTCTGCTCTGGGCAGCTGCAAGGCAGCCCTACCCCCAGACTCAGCTGGGGTTTGCAAATAAGGAAAGATGTCCCAATCTGAAGGTGTAGCAACTCCTGAAGGGAGCTTGGAGGTGTAAAAAAAATAAATAAAAGTAAAGAACCAAGAGGTTTTATGGCCTAGAGGGGAAGCAGTTAGCAAGAGAAAATGCTTTAACTATTACAGGTGCCAACCACAGAAACTCTAGGACTCAATGCAAAGCATCACCTTCATTTAAATTCTTTCCAGATAGGAGGAAAAGTTGTTCTCACCTGTCTCTAGTATTATGTCCCTGGGCTGGAGCAGCAGCAGGAGCAAGTGAACAAGCTCTTTCACTTTTTTCCAGCTGTTCACGGTGTCAGCTCTTTTATTGCAAAACTCGCTTAGAGATCAGGCATTTAGATGTCCATAACAGGGAGGAATTACCAGCTCCCACTTGATCAGAAGAGAAGTGGTGTCTACTTGCCCTTAGTATATTCCCATATGAGCCTCTTCGGAGGGAGTGTAATTAATTGCTAGGGGCCGGGAGGGAGGCTGGGATTGGTTGTCCTGAGCCCAGTGCCCTCCTTCTGTGCAGCTTTGGACAGAACGAACAGTTGCTACCAGAGAGCATGGGGCTTCTCTGAAGGCACCTAGTTGCCCAGTGACTTGATTTACAACACACAGCCCTTTGGGTAACAAAAGGGAAAGGCCAGGGTGGGCAGCGTGCCCAGGATCCAGAGTCCGGCTGCCAGGCATTTACTTGGGGAGAGCCCAGGACATGGGGAGACCAGATGGACAGGTCTCGGGTCCTAGTTCCTAACAGCGTCCAAATAACACTAAAAGAAAGGCTGCAGGTGGCAACTAAATTCCAGGAAAGAGACACATAAGCCCTCTGCCCAACCTTCCACCAATGCCACCCTTCCCAGGAAGACACACTAGCAGCCCCAGCCTGCAACTTGTTGCTTCTTGCCCAAAGGACTGTCACAGTTGTGAGCCCCGGACAAGCAGGAACAAAAGAGCTAACCATAAAGAGGGAGAAAATGCAGCCAAAAATTCTCTAGTGGCCTCCTGTCCCTGTGGGTTCTTGCCCAGGACAACTCCCCCTTCCGGAACTGCAGCGTCCTCGCCCTCAATTCTACTCTTTTTCAGCTCCTTTCACAGTAAAATGTAAACTGTGTCCCCGCCACTCAGGTCCTCTCCTCCATGGTCTCCCTTCCTTCCCCTAAGCCTCCAGGTCAAATTACTGCCACCCACTGTCCAGGGAAAATAATGACATGTTGTATTTCTCATGTCTGGGCGGAGTGTGTGGATATGTGGAATGTCGTCAGAAATGTTGCCAGCATTTTAAACCCACAGTTACTGAAGTTTTAGGTATGCTGGAAGCAATCAGTTAATTAGATTTTAAAAATTTGGATAACATCACAGAATTACGCACAACTAAGTTTTATTTCATCCCGTGTGCTTTCTTAACAATTGGGTAAATTTCTTTCCAGTTTTAAGAATGTTGTTGAAAGAAAAATGTGTTGCATGTGTATGCTTTCTGATGGGATGAGTAGGTAAAACAAAACAAAGCGAGCAACAAACAACACAAAGCTGTCAATAGAAAGTACAAAAACCTGACATAACCAAGTAGTTTCCACACTGAAAGCAAACAACAGACAAACAACAAAACCCTGTTCTGGACTGTAAGAAGCATCTTTAAGATCGAAAAGATAACACGAGCATTTTTCTGAGGGCCCTCGCCTGTCTGTTAACCCTTCGAAGTCTTCAGCTTGCATTCACATACTGCCTCTCAGTGTACTATCCTGGGAACTAGAACAACCCATATTAATAATGTGGATCCAAATAGAGTAAATGAGGCCATGGTGTTGTTGTTAACTGCCATCAGTTGGCTCCCAACTCTTGGTGACCCCTGACTCGTGGCGACCCCATGCACAAAAGCAGGGGCAGATTATCCAATAAGCAAGGTAAGCAGCATGCTTACCTTGCTTACCAGATCATCTGTAGTGAACAGCTCCACATTTTTTCACCACATCAATGTTTCTGCTTCTAGGTATGGCTGGCATCTGTCTCCTTCCCAAACCCACAGCACCTTCCTACAGAATCAAATCCTCTTTTCAAAATTATAATACCTTACAGGGACAGATGACCCAGTAAGCAAGGTAAGCACAGGCTTACTTGTGTTTACTTACTAATCTGTAGTGACCAATTTCACATGGGTTTCGCCACATCTTTGAAAACCAAAAACCCGTTGCCACTGAGTTGATACTGACTCATAGCGACCCAGTAGGACAGAGTACTGCCCCATCTGGTTTCCAAGGAGAAGCTGTTGGATTCAAATTGCCAACCCTTTAGGTTAACAATCACAGCTCTTAACCACTGCGCCACCAGGGCTTTACATCTTTGAAGGAGCATGCCTAATCCAGAAGTTGCAAAAGAATACAGTCTGGTAGGCTGTCCCTTGTAGAAAGAGCACTTGCTTTGAGTAAAAAGCTGCCCTGAGTTCCTGCAATTCTAAATATTGTAGAGATGAATAAATCTGAGTAATCATTTTGCTAACTAAAATTAATAGCCGTGATCTGAATTTTCAGTGGTTTAGTTTCAAATCAGGTCATGTAAAAAATATTTGTAAGAAGTATCAGCCTTTTGGGACTTTGAATCTGACAGACCTAGGTTCAAATCCTCGCTCCACCACTTCCTATGGTGTGATATGATGGTGTGGTACCTGTAAAATGGGGATAGAAATAGGCCTATCTTATACTTTTATTGCATAAGATGTGTAAAGAATGCAGTAAGTTCTGAGTAATAGACATCAACAAATGGCAATTATTAATAAAATTTCACGTGGTGAAACCGATGTGAAATTGGTCACTGCAGATTAGTAAATAAGCTCAAGTAATCCTGTGCTTACCTGTTTTACTGAGTAATCCCTCCCTGTCAGGGATTGTAAATTTGAAAAGAGGCTTTGATTCTGTAGGAAGGTGCTGTGGGGTTGGGAGAGAGACAGATGCCAACCATACCTAGAAGCAGAAACTTTGATGTGGTGAAAAGATGTGAAATTGTTCACTACAGATGATCTGGTAAGCAAGATAAGCACCGTGCTTACCTTGCCTATTGGATAATCTGCTCCTGTCTGCAAGGGTTTTGGGACATCTATATTTAGTACCGTTCTTAAAGTAGGAGCCTGCGTGGAGCAAGTGGTTTGCAATAGGCTGCTAACCTAAGGGTTGGTGGTTTGAACTTACACCGTGGTTCCACAGCAGAAAGGCACGGTGAACTGCTTTTGTAAAGATTTCAGCCAAGCAAACCCTATGGATCAGTTCCACTCTGCAACACATTGGGTCACCATGAATTGAGGGTTGACTCAAGGGCAGCAAACAACAATAACAACAAAACTAGGCAAGAGGGCCCCCTACCCCAGGCCCTGTGCTTTAGAGGGCCCCATTCTGGCCTTCCTCCAACAGCACCTCTCCCAGTGGAGTGATCTATCTGTGAGGTGAAGAGTACATGCCCACCCAGAGCCTGCACCATCCCTTTGTCTGGATAATGCTCTGGGAGCCCAGATCCTGAAATTCTGGATCCCTAAGTAATTGTGTCTGCTTCTAAGGTCTGGGAGCATCCTCTTTCCTCCCTCCAACCACCAAAGTAGTACTTCATCCCTGATATGCACATTTGTAGGTCCAAGTAGTGGTCCAGGGGCAGCTTTGAATGTGCTGTTTAGCTAAATGGAGCTTAGATGTATATGCTGGAGTGTCCACATATATTTATATAAAATCCTTCCCGGTTTGAGCTGAAGCCTCGAATGGATGAGAAGTTGAGAGGACTGAGGGCCTGAGGCTATAGGCTGGGAGCTGGAGTCTAGTAACTGGCTCTCCCTGCCCTGCCAAATTCTGGTGTGGAACAACAGGAATCTGAGAATCCTAAACTTGAACTTGGCTTTCCAGGTTATTATGAAGGCATATTTTTCAAGGTTGGGGGATGGAACATGTTTTATTCAACACTGAGGTTGATTTGTAAGCAGTGGTATGCTGGTAAATGACTAAAAATAGGCTATCTGAAGAAAAATAACAGCCTAATTTATAGCGTTTGCCCTTTACCCTGCTCCCATCATGGCCAAGTTGAAGCTACCAATGTGCCATCACTGAATGTGTAGCTGGGAAGAGATATGCATGTTTGGCTCTTGTGAGCCTATAAGCATTGCCTCCAGAATGCTACTGTTTATCATTTTAATTATTTAGACATGTGATTTAGGAGCTTCCATTTGTACTCTCACATTGGGCTCCCTAAGTATTAATTATGGGCCCTAGTGTCTGGAAAAATGCCAGAATTTATAAGGCCCTTACAAAATATCTTTTGAATAAAAGACCCTGCTACTTGTCTGACTTTGGGCAAGTCACCCATCTATAAATTAATCTGTACTTTACAGGGTTCTTGACTATATGAGACAGTGTATGTGAAAGCATCTAGCACAACTTTTGGCACCTTATCTATAACAAATAAATGTTGTTGAAAGAATGAATAAAAGGCATTCAATAAATTTTAAGTTCTTTTTATTATCAAATTTGGGGGAAATTCAAGTTTTTTACTTTACACTACTTCTAGGAGCCTGCAATTATCTGCAGTTGTTTCTTGGTCAAGACAAATACCCATTTATTTTAGTGCTTTCTTAGATAACCTTTTGTGACAGACTTTTCGTCTTTATTACGTTCCCAAGGGAACAGTGCTCACACAATGTTACTCATTTTAGAAAGTTTGGTAAAATTCCATTTGGCTGCACGTCTGTGATCTGTGCTTAGGGAAGGAAAGGCTGTTCTTTATGCTCTAACTTTATTCTCAGCTGTATTTTGTAACCTGGAAAAGAGGAGAGAAAAATGGCTTTGAATTAACACTTGAGATTTAGCTCATTCCATATGTTGTCCTCAGTGAGGAATGTATTAAGTTTTCAAGATGAACACACGAGACATGGGAGATATAAATATCCTATTCAGCTGTTGTGTTCTCCCTTTTGTTTGCTTAGCTAATTGAACTAAAGCTTAGTGATAAGTGATAGTTTGTACTTGAAATAATTGTCACCATGAACATATTCCATTGGTTGATAATTTATACGGTTAGTATAGATAGTGTTCTTTGTTTTAGAGATCCCTAATGACAGA